AATCATCATCACTGTCATCAGCCCATCTCCTTCGTCCTTGGCCTCTACTTCGATTATTCCTAGCCGAAGAAGCTTTAAGGGTCGCAACTTTCTCGGCTATAACATCTAAGGTTTCGAGCTTAGAAGCTATGGTAGCAAGGTGCTCAGCAGCAATAGGATTTTCTACAGAGTTCCTTGAGCTATTTGGGTTAACTTGGGAAGTCTCGGGATTGATGTGAGAAGAGCGGGTGGTCACCATGATGGATCAAAACGGGGCTCTGATGCCAAAATGGTAGGCGCAGAGAGTGGTTTCGGGAAAATAAAATCTACTAGGCTGTATTTAAGCAAGAATCTCACTCAAATAAGCTCAATAGCCAAGCGGGAGAAATCTCCGAATACTGAATGGAATGATATTAATTCTGATATATTAGCTTGAATTACAGCCAACATATATATAGAACTGAATTACAACAGAATAAGCATAAAAAAACTGACCCATAATGCTAAGGACTCGATAAGTCAGCATAACAGACTCTAATGGATTATCCCAATCCCGATAATTATGCTAACTGACTTGGAAATATTAAATAATAAAAGAAATCTGACTCAGCAAACTAGGACTTAGTCAATATCTAACTGCCTTCCTACTCTTATTCCTCTTATAGACTAACGGAACTCTATCAGGTTGAGGGACATATTTCGTGTGTTGGATATTCTATAAAATAAGATGGTGGTGTTACTGTCAAATCTCACCCAGCCTTGGTATCTCAGTTGTTGTTTTTGCATGCTACCATTTTCTTTCTCCTGTTGACATGAGTTTGAAGGACTTTCTTAGCATTTTATTTGCTCTATGTTTCCTGCAAAGTTAGCAATATCTGCCATTGGAGTTTTGTTGCCTTTTCATGGGAGTTTCATCAACTGGCACAATAAAATGGTGACCTTACCCCAAGTAGTAAGGGAGTTGTTTGGATAGTCTTGCTTGACTAGTATAGTCTCAGAATTGTCTCATTTTGCTTTATTCCTAGACTTTTTCCCTAAATGGAATTAATTATACTTCTTACCTTCTGACTGATGATGTTAACTTCCAGGAAGTTGCTGTGAAGAAGTTTCTGGATCAGGATTTCTCAGGTGCTGCCTTGGCTGAATTCAAAAGAGAAGTAAGCATTAAGTTGTGTTTTTGTGCATCCAGTCACTGTTAATGATGATCTAAATGATAATTTCTAAGAAGAATCTAACGTATGCTGGTTTTCTATAGAAATAAGGGTGGGGATTAATGAAAAATGGTTCTGAACTTCTGATGGTCATAATGTACCATCTACTCACTTATTGCCTTCGTTATTCTTGCTTCTAAAAAGAATAACTGCAGGTCGAAATTTAATATTCAACTGAAACAGTGGACTGGACAAATGGCCTTATGTTTAAACTTTGGTTTATAAGTCATAAGACTATAACAAATAGTACTGTTATCCTTATTTACTTGAGGCCGATATGCTAATCCCTTTTCCTTTTGTATTCTGTAAGGTAAGGATAATGCGTAGACTGCGGCATCCGAATGTTGTTCTTTTTATGGGCGCTGTTACTCGACCTCCTAATCTCTCAATCATTACAGAGTTTCTTCCTAGGTAAATTTGTGCACCATCTTTTCTTTTTTGGCATTTCTCAAGAGTTTATACTGTCATTATTGTGTCACAAAATTATGACCCTCTTTGTCCCAACAAGATGCAAAACAATAGTGGCCCACACTTCATATCTGTGTTGGTCCCTAAAGTCTAGAAGGTTGTGGGAAGAGGTGAGCAATTTTATTTACTCTTTTCACAATTATAGCTCTTTTGTTATTGATGTTGCACTTAACAGGGGAAGCTTGTACCGAATTCTTCATCGTCCTAATTGTCAGATTGATGAGAAACGCAGAATTAAAATGGCTCTGGACGTGGTATGAAATAATTTATTTCATCCTTCTTTCTTTGACCAACATTTTCATTGTTCGTCTTTCATTTTTGATTGCTTTGGGTTGCAGGCTAGGGGCATGAATTGCTTACACACCAGCACGCCTACGATCGTTCACCGTGATCTGAAGTCACCAAATCTTTTGGTTGATAAGAACTGGAATGTTAAGGTGTATATTGAAACTTAATGCATTATCAGTGTATCTTGTCAGCTCCCCCCCCCCCCCGCCCCATTTATACCTATTCCCGAATTCTTTCTTTACCCATCAAATTAGATGTTTGTTAGTGGTGGACCCCTAGCTATTGGGCCAAAAGTGTTAAGGATTTGGGGGCGTGGTAAGAATCAGACAGAAATAGCCGAGGATGAAGGGGGCAGGAGGGGCAAGGGAGGAATTATCTAGCAATAGCTATATTGCTTAAAGGGACAGGGCGTTTTACAGTCACTTGTGCCTTGAGGGCGCCTTTTGCCTTTGACAACACTGTATTAGCCATAGATATTCTCTTGAGCTTTAGCTTTTGGGTGGCGGTCTGAGGGCGTAGATGAAGAATTCTCTTAAAGGAGAGTCTCTAGCTTTTTTTAATGCTAGAGAACCTTACATCTTGTGTTCTACTCTTCATTTTGCTACTGCAATCGCTACATCTGCTAGATGCTCTGCCGATTTCTATACATAAATAATATTATGAATATACAAATCTTGTAGGTTGTGTTTATTAAACTTTCCGAGCCTTTTCTTCTTTCTTTTGGGCCTTTTTCTGGGGTGGGGAATAATCATCTGCAGTCAGTAGTTGTGGGTTTTATGGAGGAATGTACTTTGACAGCCTGCTCTTTTATATGTCCGCAGGTTTGTGATTTTGGTTTGTCAAGATTGAAGCACAACACGTTTTTATCATCCAAGTCAACTGCTGGAACGGTGAGCATTTGAAACAATTCTCTTTTATTCTGGGTGATCATTTATTTATCCACAGTCTCTATGTTCAACCCTGACTTTTTCTTCTACCTGTCAGCCTGAATGGATGGCTCCTGAAGTTCTTCGCAATGAACCCTCAAATGAGAAGTGAGTTGTTCTCTAACTAAACCCTTTTACGTTCTATTTTTCAGCTTTCAGTAAATGTTTTCTATTTGAATTTTATGTCTTATGCGGGATCCCTGTTTATAGAAGTATTTATGCCATAGTATGATAGCAATAAAACCAAGTATTGAAAAGTCCGTCTATGGATTTCACCATCACCAATTCACATTATATTTCCTCTGGCTTGAGGCTCGGAAAACATGGCTGCTGAAGGGTGTGATGCATCCCAACTAACATGCGCAAATGCACAGGTGTGATGTATACAGTTTCGGAGTCATTCTATGGGAGCTTGCTACTCTAAAGTTGCCGTGGAGTGGGATGAATCCTATGCAAGTTGTTGGTGCTGTAGGTTTCCAAAATCGTCGTTTAGATATCCCCAAAGAAGTTGATCCTTTAGTTGCAAGAATTATCTGGGAATGTTGGCAACAGTAAGCGCTGTGTGTTTTCAGTTTTATTTGGCGTAACGCTTTTTACAACATTAGTTTAAAAAAATCGCTGTCTGAAAATTTCCTTTTCCCAGGGATCCCAATTCTCGACCCTCATTTGCCCAGCTCACGGTAGCGCTAAAGCCCCTGCAGCGTCTGGTAATGCCGTCTCATCAAGATCAGCCAGCTACACATTTGGCGCAGGAGATTTCTGTAAATTCTACCCCTTGAATTGTCTCTATTTCTCAAGTGTGGATACGGAGGCTCTCTGCATAGTTTACTTCTGTGAATATATATCGAAGGAAAAAAGAGAAGTGAAAATCACACCAAAGCTTGTACGGCAAATGTTTGTGTTGAGGAATATAAGAATCGTGCTGCAGCTCAAACGACTGCAGAACCATTTTGTATAGATATTCATAGTTTCCCCAATGTCGCTCAAGTGAGTTTGCTGTCATCTTCAACGTTTCAGTCAGAGCAGCAGATTCTACCCAGATTCATGTAGGATAATTTTTTCGTTATATCATGACTTCATGATGTAACAACGGACCCTTTCAATAATTCATTGTCATTGCTTATCAATATAACTGGATGGAAGAGAGGGAAATGAAACAAGGAATAATGGATTTTAGAAATAATTTTATAATGTACGGGGTAAGTATATGAGCAATTTTAAGCATTTTTTCCAAGTGCTTTTAGGCGAAAAGTTGAGAAGAAAGAAAATAAGAGGAGAGAAAATAGGAAGAAGGAAAAAGTAGAGGGAAGTTGTTACCATTTTTTTTGTTTGGATGGATGAAAGAAAATAGAAAGAAAAAAAATTAGTAAATATTTAAATAACTAAAATATCCTTATCAAGATATATCATTTAAAATTGAATTAAATTAAACATTGCAATAGAAAAATTTTACTAACATTAGCATCATCAAATAATTTAAAATCAAGTTATTTAGTTTATATACATTTTCAGATTATTATGTTTTAAAACCAAATGATTTAATAAAAATAGTTTTAAGATAATAAAAAATAAAAAGTGAATAACTTTTTAAATATAATAGAAGAAAATAAATATAGAGAGGAAGAGAGAAGAGGGGCAATCATAAAAATCTTATTTTTCTTTTCAAATCTCTTCATATATGGAGAGAAAATTTGGAGAAAAAAATAAGACATGAGGTTCATTTTATTTTCTCCTCCCTTTTTCTTCTTCCTACAGTTTCTCTCCTATTCAATTAAGAGAAATCTTGTCTTTTCTCATGTTTTCCTCTCCAGTTTTCTCTCTTCTCTAATTTTCTCTCACTCTAAGCAAAGGGTTAAAGGTAAAAGCCTAATAATAATGAACCAATAGGCCAGAAGTTGAACAAAATGTGATGGTATTTTGTTAAAATGTGTTATTGCAGCCTCCAAACGAATATTTCCCAATCAATGAAGGGTTAAACTTTAGAAAGTAATTAGTTCTTTCTTAAAAAGCTAAAGATTATTGTAAAACAAAGCTGAATTTCGAAATGCTCTTGGGATTGCGAGCCTGAAGATATCAGTAGATACAACAACCATAGTGGTCTAACTACACGAGACGGATGATTAATTCATTATGAATGATCGATATTATCAGTAGATAGAAGACTACAGATGACCAGATCCCTGACACTGCCCTTAAGATAAGTGTACTTCCTGAGCAGGCCTTCCCTTTGGAACCCAACCTTTTCCAGTACCCTCTGAGAAGCCTTATTCTCCGCAACAGTGAAAGCTTGTAGCCTTAGCAAGTGAGGCAAATCCTTGAACACTTGTGACACAGCCATCTTCACTGCTTTTGTGGCAATCCCCTGGCCCCAGTACTTGGCTCCTATAGCATAACCAATATCCGCCTTGCAACGTTCATCGCCAGACCATGGAAACACTGAAACAAAGCCGATCGAACGGTCATCGAGGCATATTGAGCGTCGCCATGGATGAGGTATGCAAACATCTCTGATGAAAGCCAATGCCTCTTCCTTAGAACCACAAGTCTTCCACCGCAGGTTCTGAGTCACTTGATCGTCTCCTGCCCATGACAAGAAGTCGTCGGCGTCGGTCAACTTGAATGGCCGCAGCGAGATCCTTGACATATCCATTGCCGTAATTGCTTTGCTGTGTCTCCATCATTGCCGTACCCTTGTGCATATTTTATATAGCCAACATTTTCGGAATATTATATCAAATGGATGCTGGTCGGTCAAATACTAGAGGCACGAAAAAGAGCCGTATGATTAAGTGCTCGGGTCAAAAAAAGACTTGCTCTGCTTTGCTCTCCAAATTCACCACTCTGGTTTTTTCTTTTTCACCGTGCTTTCCGGCAATTAACTTTTGCCTTTATGTGTCGGTGGAGTTGGACTTGCCGTCATACGAGCCCCTTGTATCCATACAAAGTTTTTTTCCCCCCCACCCAATACGAAGTTATAATAAGTTGTACTATTCATAAAGTATGAATAATACAAGTTATCTCAGATTCTACGTAGCAATGAGAAATCATGTTTAGTTAGCTTGAAGAGCTGTGCTTGACATACAAAATGGTATTTTGATTTAATTGGCATGGGAGAATTTTGATTTTAGAATATAAGCTAGTATTTGTCTTCAACATGTACGATTGGGGGGAAATATTTTTGCTAGTTTAAATATTTTCATGCTTCATGTATTGAATGAAAATGCAAGGAGATGACAACCATTGGGATTAGAAGAATTAAACTCATGACCACGTCAATATTGAAAGGTACTCTTTTTCTTTCTCTTTTTTTTGGTGAAATGAAAGGTACTCTATTTTTCAGTCAAATGAAAATATCCTCAGAATCATATAATTAATCCCCACTTTTTTGAGTGAGAGTGGAGAGAAGGGAACCAGGAATTAACTCAACGAATTCGCTTTCAATCAATTCACAGCCGCCAATGTGAACGTCAAAAAAAAGGGTAAGCATCTATTTGAGGAATGATCCTTTCGCCGCATCATTTTCCTGCGCATCCGGTAGTTTGTCCAACTGAACCAATAAAACCAGAGCACCAGGGCATATTGATTCTAGTATTTTGGGATCCCAACAACCAGAACCCGGCGACCCGCCCCTTCTATTGTTGAATAGGTAACTTCTGAATCACTTTAATCCTTTCCACAGCACCTTCATCAATAAAGCAATAGCAGCTGATCAATCTTGAAAATATATTCACATGGAAATATTGAATCAAGTCCAACAGAGTGTTTATTTTCCAGTACCAAGTAGAACTAAATAATTGGAAATAAAATCAGATTTTATTACAGATGTCTGCTTTCATAGCCTTTGTATTTAGTCCAAGAGCTTACCATATACCATTAGATGACGCATTTTACACTCTGAAGAGATATTACAATTAAAATAGAAAGAAAGATAGTCAAAATTATTTCATTAGCATAATTTAATTTCTTCAATTTCGCGAGAATTAAGATACATGTAAATCTGAATAACCCTTTATCACGCAGAGAATTTGAAAACAGGGCCAAATTACCGTTTGTATCTCTTCTTGGAACCACATGGACAGAGCGCATTCCTACTCACTTGTCCACTTTGGGCCAAATTAGACCTGGCCAAATCCAATGGAGTTGAACCGACCATCTTTTGCACCTAGACAACATAAAATGCATATTATTTTCCGGTGTATCTAAATAAAAAAAAAAACATAAAATACATATTTTGCATATGTTCAAAATCAGCATCAATACTAGCACCAGAAGAATCACCTCCACATTTTTCTTAAAATTTTTTAGTTTTGATATAACCGCTGGCATTAGGAAGACATATGGGAGAAAAATAAGAAAACCAAGGGAAGAAGTTAAATCCACTGATCAAAACAATTATTCCAGAGCTCCAGGAAATGAGGAACAACTCTGATTGGCAGCTAACCACTAGCCGTATGGGTCTTAAACATTGTAGGGTGGGTAGGACTACTTTTGGGGAGACTATATATTGCTTTGTAATGAAACTAACATACGGCAGGTAATTTTTGGGAGAGAGTATTGAGGGAGAGCCCTGGCCTCTCGAATGCCATGGGGAGCTGCTGTGTTAAAGCTTTGTCATTTTAGTTCCAGTGTAACCTTTTGCTATTAAGTTGCTGCTGTGATCTATTTTGATAATCAGGGGGAAATAGGGCTTTGAGCTAGAATCAGGGGAGCTTGCTGTATCTCGATTCAGTGTTAGAACATTAATATCAAAGCCTCAGGATTTTCCTCACTTATTGCTGCTCTGCTTCATTACTGTTAGTTTTGTTGTCTGTTTTATCAAGCATTAAAGCAGGGTCACAACAAGTTTCAAAGAAGCAAACGAGATCGTCCTTAACAAATTCTGACATGTAATAGCACTTATATTTTTGTGGCTAATTTTGTACACAAGATCGATCCATTCCCCACACATATCAACAATAATAATCATAATGTGCAAACCAAAAACACACCAAGGCTTATATTGTTTCTTTTTATTTGGAGCATGTTATACTACCTCAGCAATGCTCTTTGGCATTGGTTTTCCTTCTTCCTTGAGCTTCTCTATCTTCTTTTGTGCTTCTTTAGCCCAAGTGAACTTCGAAAGTGCATTTTCCACATCAGAAATTGTGCAATTACAATGCTTTGCTGCTTCTTTTTTTGAGGGGTCTGGAGATTCTGAAAATGAGAAATAATAAGGTTACAGTTAGCTTCAGTAGAACTGTCAGGGAATATAGACAGATAGACAATCAGTGCAGAAATTCATCAAGAACATAAACTTCGATCATATAAGACAATTAGATAGTGCCAAAAGCTCAAACATGGTGTTTGGAGCGAGGAACATTTTAGGTGGCAAGTAAGTGATGGGGACACCCCAAAAAGTTTTAGACAATGAATTTCATACGTCATTATGGCTGGTTTCTTAAAGGGTTAATATCATTTAGCAGATTTTCTATTCTGTCTTAGTGCATTACAAATTCGGGGAAAAAAGAACAAACGACAATATTCCCAGGCACCTACTAAGATGACTGACGTGAACTTCAACTATAAGCGGTGGCTAAAAGGCTGATGGTCCCGACGTTAAAAGATACAGGTATTAAGAAGGCGGCGTCGCTACTGAGGGGGAAAAAAGGGAAAAGAAGAGAAATAACCTCTCCAGTGGGGTCAAAACCTGCTAAACATCGAATTATCGCTTCCTGTTTCTCGAACGCATCAGCAAAGGTCGCTTCACTACTTCGACCAACTACGTACTGCTTGAACGCCCCTACTCTTCTTGCTTTCTTCATTTCATCCGCAAATCCTTCAGAAAAGGGGGAAAACATAAATTTGAAGGACGGTTTTCTGTTAAAAAAATGTGATCATGAATTACGTAAGATAGCTAGGGGCGAGAGGTTAAATGGTAGAAGGGTAATGGAACTCACGGAGAAGCGTGAACGAATCGGAGCTGATTTCGGATTCGTTGGAATCGGAAGGGGTCTTTTTGCCGGTGAAGACGCCCTTGACCTTCTCCATCCAGGAGGCATGGACCTGCGCTGTGGAGAAGATTGAGCGGCACAGTGACTTACTTAAGATGCGAACTCCAGCCATCCTTGATTCCGCGGCTACGCAGACTTCGTTCGATCTTGCATTTTCTCATTCTCTCCAGTCTCCCCCTGAAATGTTTGATGTTGGATTTCCATCAAGCAACGGCGTCGTTTACTTGCTCTTCCCGGTTCGGTTTGTTTGGTACGGGAAAAATAAAAGAAAATAAAAAACAAGCAAAATTTTAATAAATTTACTTTAAAAATTAAAAAATGAAAAAAAAATTCTAATTAATGTTTATTATTCTTTTATATTACTTATTTTTTATTAAAATTTTAAAATCTTATTGTTCCAATTTTCAAATAAAACTTATTAAAAAATTCATTTATTTTCTTCATACCAAACAGTACTAAGTAATGGGTAGTTCAGACTTTTTATTTTTTATTTTTTGGTTGCCCACCCAGTTCACCGGAGTTTTGTTCCGACTATATCTGGATCTGACCCGCGTCGCGCACTTGGCTGTGATGGGTGAGTCTCCCAACGGAGATTTCTGCATACCAAAAAAGTCAATTTTATTTAAGTGTCCTGAGCTTCACCCAACCCAATTTCGGGCTTCAGAGGCAGGACCTTAATTTTTTTTAGAGCCCATCTACGTAGCTTAAAAATCAATTTCAAAGAAGGCGAGTGGGAGTTATTTTTATTATTTTAAAAGTCAGTTTAACGAATGTACTTTTGATAAACAGTAAACCAGACACATAGCAGTTTTTGCCCCTTTTCATATTCAATGTGTCATTATAAATCCCTTTTATGCTTTTTTTTTTTTTTTGCTTAATTTCTTTAGGCCTGCTGGGCCCAATTTATCACCCAAGAAGCAGAGGGGGTGAAAGCAGAACTTAGAAACATCCACGCTGAGAAAAATCAGAAGTTACAACTAGGATATACTCCTCCGGTCCTAATTATAAGACCCAATTGACTTATTTGAGGAGATTAAGGAAGTAAGTTAAGTTGGTTATTTATAATAAATAAGTGTTGTCATTCCTAAAATATCCTTGCTAATTAAGTATATTGTCTAAAACTATCATTATTAGAAGGATTATCTTGGAAAAAAATGCATAAATATAAGAGACAAAATGGATTGGGTCTTATAATTAGGACCAAATAAAAAGTCAAATTGGGTCTTATAATAAGGACCGGAGGAGTAACTCATTCAATGTCACTACATTACCCCATTTAGAACTAACAACTACTGGTTGCAAAATATAATGAAAACTAAATTACATCTTTTACATCAATCTCAAAATAGAATTAAAAAAAAAAAATTCCAAAAAAAAAAAAAAACGCTAGCCTTTCCAGCATGTCACCTCAATTTATAACTCAACTCTCCCTGCTTTCTTTGGAGTCTTCGTCAAAAATCACGATGATCCTTCTCTGTCTAGATGCTTGCAAAAACGTTAATTCTCCTGCACAATTAGATGTGCCAATGATCAAAAGACTCGATCAACTTTTCAACTACCCAGCAAAAAGAGGCATTCAGAGCAAAGGCACAATAAGTGCACTGAGACCACTGGGAGCTACTTTCTTGAGCTTCTATTACAATTAAGCCTTCGAACGCCTAAATTCAAACCATATCTCGTAGTGATTAAATAGCAAACTATCATGAGTATGCTTCCCAATATACTCAAGCCCCAAACTCGCGAGTCTCTCTGTGCATTCTCTCCCCGCAATCGTGAACAGAACTTGATATTATGTGATATAAAGATTCGTCCTTCATAAGGTTTCAATCTACTGGCTAGCCTCTTCAGCCCAACCCAAACGAGCTTATCAGGCATATGAAGAAATACGGCGCTAGCATATATCAAATCATACATAACTCCAGAGCCAAACTTACTGAAATCCATGTCCTCTCCCTTCACAATCAAAGGGCGTTTGAACAAGAGGCCTTGGGAGGGAAGCTCATACCTCAATGCAGCCATAAGGGAGAGCTCATCCCTTTCAAGGCAATGAAAGTGCTCTGGATTTAAGAACCGAATAAAATGCAAGCCAACTCGAAGAGTACCACAACCAATCTCTAAGACACGGGAGTCTGGTCTGAGTTTTGAGGACTGAGCAAGAAATTCAAACACATCTCTTCCACCAGCCCAGGGCTCACCATAGTTGCTGTGGTGCTCTTCAACCAGGAGTTCCCCCGGGCAAGGCAGTGCAGTGTGATTATCTGATTCAGGTCCCTCATAGTGTGATATGCCCTTAAATCTGTAAGCAGCAGAAATACCATATAGTTCGTGCCAAACAAACTGAACTTAAAATTACAACAAAATGCATCACTGTGCACAAATGAACTAAGCAAAAACAACATTTTGATGTCTTTGAATAAGTATGCTAAGAGAAACAGAACAGGGCAGGTTTTCAGTTTTAGAGACATCTAATGAAAAAGAACATTGTTTGTCCTAAGGGTGCGATGATGAAATTGGTGCATCCAAAAAGAGTCTTGTATCAAACTAAATTGACACAGCATAGAGGTTTGAAGTAGGTGCTTTCTGGTGTTTAATTTGAACAAATTCTGCCATTATTGGAAACCAGACAGATCATTTCCGCATCTTCCAAATCACAAAACAACATCAGAAAGAAAGGAATCGTATACACAAATGAATCGCAGTATTAAAATGAGCACAAAGGCAAATTTCAAAAAAAAAAAAAAAAGAAGGAGGAGGGGGCACAGTTAAAAATATACATCTTGGCGACCAGACAAATTCAACAAAATCATGCAGACTAAACTCAGTTTAAAATCAGCATATCGGCATAAGCAAATTTCCTAAAACTCCCACTTCCATTTCATTAAATCTCTCCAGTCTTGCTGTATCATGCGCCTTTACAATATATCCCTTAAATTCATTTAGCTAATCATTGATCTCGATTTCTAATCTATTTGCATTTTGTTCCAATTCTCTCTTGCAAGCTAGAGTTTCAGTTCAATTATATGTATGACGAACGAATGTTGTTGGTAACTACTGAGAGGAATATGAAGCTAGAGATCAAAGGATCGCCCATGAATAGGGAGATATCTTGGTGTTAAGGCAAGGTTTATTTCGGATGAGAACAGAGCAGCTACTAGACCCAAAAAAAAAAGGAGCCTATACCCAGGAAATGGACAAGAACAGGATCAACGGGTCTTACTGTCTAAGATCCTCGAGTTGCTGAGCCCTAGTGCGAGGGTTAATGCCCTTGCGGAGCACATTGTCATGCATATGAAGCCCGTTCAATTGGATCTGATATTTTACCCACTCTACGTCCTCCTTTGTTGTCGAAAAGGGAATATTGCCGCTACCCGACCCGGAGATATCATCACGAAAACCGTTTCCACTGGAAATAGGTGTGTCAGCAGCTGAAGGGCAAGAGCAAGAAGAGAGCGTTGACAAGAGGAAGAGGAGGAAAATAGCGGCGGCCAAGGCAGAGAGAACCAGAGCCGGCACTGTCACCACTATGCCTTTCGACGCCGCCGGCGACGATGAGAGTGCCATCTATGATTTATCCCGTTCTCAGCGCCTGCGTAAGGCAGACTCTAGATCAGGGTCGGTGACGGATCTTCCCAGTTGCGGTTAATAATCGCCAAGGGGTTTTGTTTGGCACCTGCGGGCACGTCAACGACACCGTTTCAAGGCTCACCATCAAAAAAGGGTATTTTATATTTACATTAAAGCAGAATTCTTAAACAGACGATCCACTGTGTGGGTGATAATTACTCCATAGTTTATTTTTAAGCTCTACATCTGACCTAGTTCCCCCGATGCTCCAAGTGGCTCGCAATAAGAGTATTTGTTGTGAGCCTTTTATTAGTTTTCTGAGAGCCAAAAATCCGATACCGCTCATGTTTTATAGCTTTACGTAAGACTCATGTTAGGGGGCTGTGTTTATGTCATCTTCCCCGCTTATCAGCTTATAGTCCACGGATAACATATCTCTGAACTCGTAATATTACATATTAAATGTGGGCAATTGAGAATTTGAACTTTGTGTATATGTGTTTTTTTTTAATCTAAATTTCCACTAGATTGTAAAGCCAAAAAAAGAATGCCTGGCCTTAGAATTTGAACTAACAATCTTGATTTATAAACTAATTTTTTTACCAACTAAACATGTTTTTTTTCAATTTGGACTCTCTTATGGTTTCTCATTATTTGTATTGCATGTATTTGTTTAAATATGTTTTTAACTTTGTCGTTATTGGTATTGCTGTTTTGATATTATTTCTGGTCTTTAACATAATAGCTAGTTAACTGATATGAGTATATAAAAAAAATAGTTAAGTTAATTGTTTGAAATAGATAAGTATTATTTTTTTTAAATACCCCTGCTAATAATCATGTATATAAACACAAAGCATAAAGTAAATTAAGATTTTATATTTATAATTAAATTAAATATCAAATTAGATTTTATATAAAAACAAACCATTATTACACAATACATAATTTTTCTAATCAAACCATTATTGGCCGCGTGTCACGTTAAATTGAGTCACTTTTTTTATACTATTTTTTGGCCAACACACATATTTTTTATATTATCCTCATCCTTAATATAAGAGTTAGTTTGATTTGATTTTAAATATAATATTTCAATCAACTTTTTCTATCATATTTATTTATTTTTTCTGAATGTAGTATTTACAGTAACTGTACGTGTTAAGTGTCTTATAAATAGTAATATTAATTAATACGCGTGATTAACAATGATATTTGAAGAAGAACAATATCTATTTACCACAACTAACTAACCTAATTAGTTTCTTGATGTAGTCAAATTAGCCAACTAATTCTTATGTCAGTTACCGAGACATAGCACATGACAATTTATAGATAAAGTGATTGAATCTAGGTTTTATATTCCATGCTAACATCCATAATCACTTATCTTTAGGAGACAGTTCCCCGGGCTAATTTATAGAAATCAAATAACTGCATGCATAGAATCATTCTAGCAACTATAAGAACTATGTTGTTTGCAAATCATAAATAATACTCATAATTAACTAATTTAAATAGTTTAAAATATTAGTTAAATTAGTTAATATATTTTTTTAAAGCGCCCTAATAATCTTTTTTGATTTCCTCTTTTCTTCTCTTATTTGCTTATTATTGAAGGAATATCAGTATGATTAATTTGAAAAAAATCGATAAGTATGTAAAATATGTGTTATATATAGGACTAACATCACTTCTCAAATTAAGTTTTACATTAAAAATCCAAAGGATATAATAATTATTTTATTTTACTTGCACATATTGAACTCCCCACAATTATTTTTATTTCTTTTAAAAAATTTCATAAAAACAAATTTTTCTTGGTTGGAAGAATTGAAATTTAAATACCCTATTTAAAAAAATCATCCAAAAGCCACCATAAGTTTAAAAATCTAGGAGTGTTTGATTAACCTAAAAAGTATTTTTAAAAAATACTTTAACGTAAGTCAAAACAAAATTTTTCTTGCATATTTATTTTATATATTGTAAAATTATTTTTAAAATAATAATTTTTTAAAAATCCAGGAGTGTTTCACCCAAACATTTTTTAATTTGATTTTTTAATTTGAGAACAGCATGACCATGAATGATCGATAAATTATACACCATCACTACTTTGAACTAATCTGAGAGTGAATGAAATATTAGGCAAGGAGGGAAACGGACTCCGTCGCTTGTTTGTTCCCGGCTTAAAGCCATAAAAATCAGACGCGAATCACGAAACCTGCTTCTCTCAAAAATGCGACCGTGGCAAATGCTGAAAAGCTAACGCAGGCCCCGAACTATCGGGAACGATTTCCCTCGGTAAAAAAGAAGTAACGATTTTCCGTTTTCCAGTCTGGAATTTTTCTTAGACGTGCAAGGACGATCTTGTCCTCGATTAAAAAACACAAACCCAGTCAAAGGACCTGCCGCAATAAAATCGAAGCCCAATTTTCACTCTCCTTTCTCTCTTCGGAAAAGGCTCCCTGTATCGTTGAAACTTCGGCAGTGGGAGGAGACAAGCTGAAGGAAGCTTCGAATTCTTACTGATTGAGGTTAGGACTTCACCATTTTCTCTACCTTTACATCTCTTCTTTCTCTAACTCGATTTTAAATTTTAAATTCTTATTTGTTAAATTTCTATTGCAAAATAACTCTCTGCATCTTACAACAATCAACATGGTTGGTTATGTTCCCGCGGGCCCTTGAATGCCTGACCCGATGATCGGCTTAGTAAATTTTGCTGTTAGTCCTTGTTGGGGCATTTTTTTTTATTTCTTCGCTTTTTTTCTGTTTATCAGGATGTTGAAGTATGTGATTGCTTCAGGGGGTTTAATCTGTTGTCTCTTCTAGGTTTATTTTGATGATCGTGGTTTTTGCTTAATTCGCTTTTTGGCCCCCCCCCCAATAAACTCGATATGCTATATACATCTTTTGCTTGATTATTCCGGCATTGTGGAAAGAATGAGTTTGGGTTGATGCTATCCTCTGCAACCCTCACGGATAATTGTATGATCTGGATTTAAGTGGTTTATGGGCTCCTGGGCTGTGCCAAATGCTTTCATCTGAGTCTTACTTTTAATAGAGACTATTGTCCCCATGAATGGAAAGTTTTTCTTCGGTAATTTGAAATGCCCCTCGAATTTTTTGGAGTTTTAGACTTCTGAACAGAATGTCAACATTAAATTATTGTCAACGGGTTCTACGTATACGTTTTAATTTTTCACTTTCACTTTATATCGGTGAAGACAGAAGTTGGGTTGTTTTTCTGTGTTTGAAATTTAGTAATTAGTGTGGTGGACGAATATCATTTGATCTTGTATGCCTCCTTTGCATTTTCTGCTGTTAACTCCTTTATTTTATTGACACTTCGAGAATTATGTACTGTCATAGTTTCTGCAATGCATCGTGTGGGAAGCACAGGAAACACAAACAATTCAAGTCGGCTTCGTAAAGAGAAGAGATTAACATATGTTTTGAGTGATTCTGATGACACAAAGGTGAATTCATCATTTCTTTTTCTTTTTTGTTGTATCTAAACATCTAAATGTCATGGTTGTTTCTTGTAATTTGTGCTGCTGACCATTTTAAATTCAAACATATTGTTTTACAAAACCTGCCAATTCCCTGGGACTGATTAGGTTGTTTGTAGAAGTAATATATGTACATCTTTTGTGTAGTCAGATGAAAATAAAATTTCTCTGTTGTTTAATAGCAGCCCTCAGCGGTATACATATTTGCCCTCCTTATTTCTTAATATTTAACACTACCTCCTATTTGCACCTGGTATTTGACTTCATCAGGTGCTTTTTATTCATCCCTCAAAGATTTTGGTCAGAAATCCCCCCTTGAATTTTGTTTACGTTGCTCTTTCCTTCTTTGTTTGAAATTTATTCCTTTTCTACAGCACTGTGCAGGCATAAATGGTTTGGCTACCCTCAAGTCTTCTGTTTCTAATGGGCCTGATTATCTCTTCACCGGGAGCCGTGATGGCACACTGAAACGATGGGCACTGGCTGAAGATGCTGCAACATGCTCTGCTACCTTTGAGTCTCATGTTGATTGGGTAGCTTCTTTATTTATTAAATTTCTCCCTGCTTCACTTGTTAGGTTGTAGACGGATTTGTCAGTCTTGGGAAGGCATCGTTGTTTAATTATTCATCTAGTGGACTTTTGTTGAATGGAAAACTAAGAGATTTCTTGTTAATTATTAAGGTGCTTTTTTTTTTTTTTGAAGTCAAATTAAACGTCCAACCTTAATTGTTAGGTCCAAAATTGTGAGGTGGGGAAATTGTAAGCTATGCAATTAGCTAAATATTTCTCATTCGTGGGATGAACCCAGAAAAATTAGTTAGTGGGGGCCAATTTTGTGCCTAATATAAATGTTAATACTATATGGAGCTATAATTTCAAATACTCATCGAAATTGATATAAAAATCATTAATTACTAAAGAAACAATATGTATTTGTAATCAATATAATAGAAAAATTATTATTTTAAGTATATATGTTTCAGAATTTCAAAAAAATTTAAATGGAGTTAAACACAATTTTTCTTGGGTGAGGGACAAATGAAATTTGTCAGAGGGGGCAATTGAAATTTTTAGGGGCAATTCATGTGTAATTTTTTCCCCCCCTCATGAACAACTTCTATACATAATATTAGCGTTTTTGTTGGTGGAGCAAGTGCCCCCTATGGTGATGCATACAGATCGCTCCTTGATGTGGAACTTGTAAGTGATATATTGTTATGATGATTATTAACTTTCTTCAGTCTTCATTTGCAATGGAGGTTGGAAATTGCTGTATTGATATGCAATTACTATTTATTTTGCATTTTGTTGGAAACACTCTTATTTGCACTTTTTAACTGTCGTTGGTTTCTTTTCTTGGAATTAGAATCCATAATGAGGAAAAATCGTGAAGACTGGATTAGACCATGACGGCATTTCACAGCCCTTAATTTCTGTTGCACAAAAATTTTAAATCACATTGAAATTTGATTGCCTATCGACGCTTTGGGTGAGCGCCATCTGAGGCAACTTTCATGGGCACTGAATGCTTAATCTTCTCCTGTGGTCATCTTTTCATTAGTATTTCTTCTTTAGAAAAGCCAAATCTTTTGAAGTGTCTCTAAGCTAAGCTCACCTTGTCTAATTACACTATGTTACGCAGAAAGTTGAGCAAATAGTTTCTTGCAATGTGGCCCATGCACAATCCGTAATTCATGCACGAGTTGCCTGGAACATGATTAAGTTGATTTTGCTTCTGCAGGTGAATGATGCTGTTATCGTGGGTGATAGAACACTTGTTTCTTGTTCTTCAGATGCAACCCTCAAGGTTAGTCACACCTTAATTATTTTATTCTTTCTATTCTTCTTCCATGTTGCCATTAAATATTTTATTGTCTTTACTTTTTCTTCTTTCCTGTCGGGTGCCAGACATGGGATGCCTTATCTGATGGAGCTTGTACTAAGACTCTCAGCCAACATTCTGATTATGTTACTTGCCTTGCGGCTGCAGAAAAAAATGTAATGTATCCAAACTTTATGTGCCATATCCAATTATTAAGTCCATCAAAAGAGTAAGAAGGCCCAATTTTATGTTTCATATAATTCACTTCAAATCTGAAAGATAGCTTTTCTTATTGAATGTCATAGATAGTTTTGATTAAAAAGAAGTTTTTATCTTTATCAAATTCATTTTCTAATCTTTTTATAGTGTTGTGCATTTTAGAGCAATATTGTTGCCTCTGGTGGCCTGGGCGGAGAGGTTTTCATTTGGAATCTTGAAGCTTCAATCACCCCAATCTCAAAATTCCATGAAGTTATGGATGATGATTGTTCAAATGGTGTCAATGGTTCTGGCAACTCCCTAATAATGACAGGCTTACATACCATCAGCTCAAACAACAATCTTTCCTCACCCACTAGTCATTGTCAAGGGTATATTCCGATTGCAGCCAAAGGCCATAAGGAGTCTGTTTATGCATTAGCAATGAATGAAGGTGGAACACTTCTTGTCTCTGGTGGCACAGAAAAGGTACAATATGGCAATGATTTCATTTTTATGCCCTTTCTGAGGTCTCTTTTGAGTTATTGTCTTTTTAATTAAAAGCAGTGCTGCAGTGGTTCTCTTGAACCTACCATAGCTTAAATTTCATTGGATAGCCTGCAGGGTATTGTCATTGACCTTTGGCATGTGCTTTATTTATGCCTTCCTTTTCCTCAAGGTTGTGCGTGTTTGGGACCCAAGATCTGGATCAAAGACTATGAAGCTAAGGGGGCATACGGATAACATTAGGGCTCTACTTCTGGATTCTACTGGCAGGTTTGTTGGGTGGAAATTTAGGATCAAATTTGCAGCTGAATTAACAACTAATGGCTATTTCCTTTCCCTTGCGTGCCAAATATTTCTTCTGCTGTTGAGAAGCAGTGTTTACAAGTGATTGAGTTTGGAGCTTGCTTTTGTCTTTTTATTTGTATCTTAAAACTTCCCTCAATTTGTAGGTTCCTCCAGCTTACATATAACTATGACTTAAATGACATTATATGCCACATAGCTTTTTGTGGTTCAGTAATGCAGACGAAGAAAGAATGAATTTGGTCATTAATAATTTTTGCTGCTAGTCATCTGAGATACTTCAATCATTCATTTTTGCAGGTTTTGTTTATCAGGATCATCTGATTCTATGATCAGGTATTTTTTTTAAACAATAATAAAAGAAAGCTAGGGTAAAGTTTGTATATGATGTCATAAGCACTAAAATTTAGGGTTATATGGTTGACTGATCTTCCGTCTCTCTTCATAGACTTTGGGATCTAGGTCAGCAGCGATGTGTACATTCATATGCTGTTCATACAGATTCTGTTTGGGCACTGGCCACCAGCCCATCATTTAGTCATGTTTATAGTGGTGGGAGAGACCTTTCGGTGAGTGAAGCTATCATTTAAAATAACGTTGATGTTAATTATTATTTTGACTTGACTTTATGTGACATCTTCTGTCTAACTTGCTAAGTTTATCCTTTTAATGCCCTTTTTATTTGCAGTTATACTTGACAGACTTGCAAACAAGAGAGAGTCTTCTGCTTTGCACTGGCGAAGACCCTATATTGCAATTGGCTTTGCATGATGATAGTATATGGGTTGCATCTACCAATTCTTCAGTACACAGATGGCCTGCTGAAGGACATTATCCTCAAAAGATTTTCCAAAAGGGCAATTCCTTTTTAGCTGGAAACTTGTCCTTTTCCAGGGCAAGGGTGTCCCTAGAAGGATCCTCCCCAGTATGCTACATTCATTTCTCATAGGTTCATCTTTTGATTTAGGGTTAATATTGCTTTGTCTATGGAGTAGTGTAGTGCTAGGGGAGCTCATAATGCCAGTTGCATGATATGCACCTCGTGAAGAAGGAGCATATTGTTTACGTATCATGTTCTATTTAGGATGATAGGATTTGCCTTCCAATGATTTTAACTTATGAACTTAATCTTCATGTAGTTCTCTGTAGTGGGCACTAACTATCTTTTTTGTTGCGAAAATTTCCATCTCAATAGGCACCTGTTTATAAAAAACCAACCTTAACTATTGCTGGTACCCCTGGAATAGTGCAGCATGAAGTGCTCAATAATAGGAGGCATGTTCTGACAAAGGTAATGTTGATGTTATCTGTACATGTGCTACATGTGACTGTTGGTGGTGTTACTTATTCTGCTGCTTAATTGCTACCGTTTCTGTCTGTAATCTTGTGAACTAATAGAGGGCTCAATTAACAGGATACTGCTGGTTCAGTGAAACTGTGGGAGATTACAAGGGGCGTTGTGATCAAAGATTATGGAAAGGTGACCATTATTTGGATTTTTCTCCGTATGTAGTTGGAATGATGAGACATCTTTTATGGAAATCTTGACTTTTGGGGAAGGAGCTTAGTCTGCTTACTGATTCTTATCTGCAAGTTTCAACTGTAGCTAACTCAAAATGTCTCATGCTTTGAATGTCAACTTTTTAGGTTTCGTTCGACGAGATAAAGGAAGAGCTGTTTGAGATGGTATGATTACAGATTGACAACATTGTAGCAATCATTTTTATTGTTACTGATGCATCCCCGCAACACCCCCCCCCCAAAAAAAAAAAGAAAAGAAAAAGACAAAATGAACAATCTACAGAGCTTATTATTTCCGTCTGGTTTTTATTTTCTTTTCCTACTGCCTTAGGTTAGCATTCCTGCATGGTTCACTGTGGATACCAGGCTTGGAAGTTTGTCAATCCATATGGACACTCCCCAATGCTTCTCTGCAGAGATGTATTCAGCAGACCTTAATATTGCCAACAAGCCTGAAGATGATAAGGTAAATGGAACTCTGTTCATAATCAATTCACCTGCTTATTTCTTAAGGGTGCTTTGTGGATTTGCTTCTATTATATCTATCTTTTGATCTATCTATTTATTATTGCAAGAAAGCTGAGGATTGCTGCAACTTTTTGTTGCCCGCTCTTCTGTTTAACTTTCTCAGTCATGCTGCTGCTCCCTTTTCTTTTGGTCTGATTAAGGCACTGCTTTCCCTTGTTCTACACCAGTCACACTACTTGTCTATTTATCTAAAGGAATGAATATGAAGTTGATTAAATAATACATCCTAATAATTAGATATAAAATCAAAATTGACATTTTTAAATTTTATCTTTTGAAGATTTTGTTTTTGCTTTCTTCTGGCTCTAATTGGGATTTGAATCAAGAACCTTCGGTCTAAAGAATGATTACTTTATTTATCAGAGTGAATAGGACAGTTATTTTTGTGGAGCTGACAGAGGCTGAGTATTATTTTGTGCTTTTAGAATATCCAGAAGTAGGTTTCGTTTATCCATTTTGTAGTGCTTTATTGTATCCATATCTAAAGCTTCCAATGGCACCATGAGGAGCTTACAATAATTTGTCATTGACTATCCGTTGTTAATCTCATGTTTCAATAAATGTACTGAAAGGAATTAAATGAGTCTGGTTATATTTCTGAAGGTTAATTTGGCTCGAGAAACCCTTAAAGGGCTCTTGGCTCATTGGTTGGTGAGACGAAAGCAAAGAGTGGGATCTCAAGCTAATGGGGAAATAGTAGTACCTGGAAAGGAAAGTAGTACAAGAAGTCTTATCCATTCAAGAATTGAGGTTGATTGCAGTACCGAGAATGATGCTAAGGTTTATCCTCCATTTGAATTTTCATTTGTTTCCCCTCCATCCATTATCACTGAGGGCACACGTGGAGGTCCATGGAGGAAGAAAATTACTGATTTAGATGGAACTGAGAACGAGAAAGACTTCCCCAGCTGGTGTTTGGACTGTGTATTGAATAATCGAATGCCTGCAAGAGAAAATACTAAGTAACTTCTTGTCTTCTCTGCATTTCCCCCTTTTCTTTTCAAGACTTCCTCTGACAGTGTCTGGACCGTGTACCTGTTACCTTACGGAGAAAATGCCCAATAACATTTTGTCCTTTTTGTTTCGTGATCCCTCTTTTTTTTGAAGTGGTTGCGTTTTGACTATGGCCAAGGCTTCAGTAAAGAAACCATGCTCATAAGATGTTCATACTAGTTGGCTGATGCTGCATAGAATCTATTTTTTTTGGTCAATTTTTTAATAACTTAAAGCCTTAATTGAAATATATATTCTGTCCATTCATAGTTGCTGTTGTCCTTGTTTTCTCAATGGTAAGTTCACTCTAGAGAGTTACATGGTCAGCAATGGTCCCTGCTGCCTGTTTCTGCTGCTGAATTTTCTCTAGGTTTTGTCATTAATAGATTGAATTTATTATATTTTATTTTCCATTGGACAAAAAACCACAAAGTTTTCTTAGGGATTTGAGTTGGGAGAATGACAAATAAAGACCTTGAAAATTATTAAATTCCAAATCAAGATTCGTTACACACTTTAACAGGTTTTGACAACACTTGACTTACAAATAATAACACATTTTTGTAAAAATACCTTATTTGGAATTTTGTAATTTCCATGGTCTTTTTTTGTCATTTCGCATTTGAGTTTATTACTCACAGTGACAATCCTATCATTCTGGAGTTTTTCATAATTATGAATGCTTAATAGCTAAAACCAATTATGTAAAATTCCCAATTATATTATAGATTCTTTTGTAAAACCCATGCAGATGCAGTTTCTTCCTGCAACCATTTGAAGGTTCTACCGTCCAGATCCATACACAAGGAAAACTAAGTGCTCCACGTATATTGAGAATTCACAAAGTAAGCAACGGTATTTCATAGTAATGTTTCTTGTACAACGTATCCCAGAGTTATTGACATTTGGGAAAGCATTATTTTATGAATCAAGCAGTCATTCTCTTATAGCAATGGCTGTCTCTATATTAAATGAAATGCCATGTAGGAAGAGAGCAATGTGATACACCTTGATTTATGTAGTGTGGAATTGCGTCTTTTTGGGTGTCAAAGACACTAACATTAAATTGTGAGGGGTCATACACCTACCCGATATTCAAAAAAGCTGGCCGCGACAATTTTCTCTACTTGTGGAACTATTATCTCATGACTCATGTTACTCCCCATCTTTTCTTTTCTTCAATAGTTGTTATATGTGATTGACAATAAGCAATTATCATTAGAGAATATTTTGTTCTTTAAATTATATGTTCTTAGCCAACAAGAGTTGGTTTAGTTAAGTAGTCTACTCATAACCTACAAGGTCGTGAGTTCGAATTCTATTGCCAATGTAAGAATTTTGTTGGTGGGCGATTTGTAAGTATCTTTGTAAACGCTCTTTGAGTCTGAAAACATGCTCTAGCTCTGGTGAGCCCTTGGGACCCAGTTCACCTGAGTCACAGTTATATGTTCTCCTATTAATTTTTTTGTTAATGAATTTGGCCTTAATTTTGGCTAATTATCTAAAATTGTGTAAGTACTGAACAAATAAGAGAAGAGTAGCTATCATTAAAGAATATTTTCTCCTTTAAATTATAATGTTCTTTCATTAAATTTTTGTAAATGATTGAGCCTTAATTTTTGTTATTTATTTAAAATTGTGCAAGTATTGAGATAGTAAGATTTTTGTTTATACGGACACATATTCAGCGGCCAATTGATAAAGTTTTGACGGTTAGTTGATAATTATGAGATTCAAAACTATATTATAGGTGTTTGTCCTTTTTATATAAAGCTGTCATTTATTGTTGAGACACTTTAAATGAGAGAAAAGTTGTAAGAGCGAAAATGGCCTAACATCCTTATATGAGCTGAAGCAAAGGCCAGGGAAGGCACCGAAAATTGATGAAAGCGTGTCGTATGTTATCAGTTTTTCTGTTTTCTGATGACTAGACACCACCCCCCCCCCCCCCCCAAGAAAAAAAAAATTCCAAAAAAGGAAAGGTTTTGATTGAAAGCTGTACTCATCCTGACTTTCTTTCTAGTAGATGCTGTGTTTTGGAGAAGTTAAGTGCTCCTTTTTTTCATGCCCTTCTGTTGTCTAGGTTATTAATTATGTAATAGAAAAGTTGGTCCTTGACAAGCCACTGGATAGCTCAAATACCGAAGGTAGTTTTACCGCTGGATCTGCACTTGGGGATGGATCTTTTCGATCTGGATTGAGGTCTTGGCCAAAGCTTAAACCTTCTATTGAAATATTGTGCAACAATCAGGCAAGTTTATAAATTGTTTGAAATGCTGTCTCTTGACAGTGCATATGATACCATTGTCTAGATGCTAAAATTGAGTTAGTCTTGGCATGCCTCTTGAAACCTTTACTGCTTCCCTTGGTTTCTCATTTCAGTGTTTTTCACAAGACATTGAGGTCATTTATTACACTTACGGAGTTGTGGTCTTCCTTTTGGTCTTGGTATAAATTGCAAAGCTACCACTTTGACCTTCTTCCAGAGAACATGCTGCAAAATTGATTAATATGGTCATTAAGTTCAAATGTGGGCATACTAAACACAGACTATATTATCATAAAATTTAATTATTATGGACCTTGAAATTCTTGCTTTAATTTAAACAGCAATTTGTGGAAGCTCCCTCTATCATTGTCTGGGTTTACTTTACTGGATATGGCAAGATGAGTTGAAACTGAGACTTGAAAGAACAATATCTCCAGAAATATGTTATAATTTTCGTTATGAAAGTGTAATTCAGACCTTATATGCCTCAAGTGTATTCAACATAATAGATCGCAATTATCGAATTTCATCTGTAGTACTATCATGGTGTGGGTGACTGTATTCTTAGCTGTAGTGTTTTGGTATTATGTTTCCAGATGTTGTCTCCTGAAATGAGCTTAGCGACAGTGCGTGCTTATATATGGAAGAAAACAGATGATCTGATCCTCAATTACAGGGTGGTTCAAGGCAGGTGATGGCAGATTGTGCAAAAAGGTGGGTATGGCACCAAGACCTATGCTTAGCTTTATCTGTTACAAGATGTTCGTGCTTTTGTGTCTTTGGTTTCTTCATTTCTTTTGGTAAATTATTCCCCCTTCCCTAAGAGATGCCCAAACTACATACCTCTATATCTCGAAAAATTACATTCTCCTTAAAATTGGAGAGTGTATACTCGGTCTTCCTGGAAAAAACTAAGTTACAATTTCACCTGAATTGACCAAAATACCAAGTGTTGGCCAGAAACTATGGGCCCTTTTGTTTTTGTTCTTTGTTTTTTTATTCTCAAAACAATTTTATAAAATTGTTTCTTAAATAAGTTTTGAAAACAAAAAACAAAAGAATTTGTTTGGATAATAATTTTAAAAATCATGTTTTGAAAAAAATCATAGAAAATCACACTTGGTTGGTGATAGCTGTCACTGGTAATGATAAGTGGTGGATAGTAGGTGAGAAGAGAAGAAGATTTTTCAGAATTTTTCAAAACAAAAAATAAAAAACACAAAAACAAAAACAAGAAAACTTATGAAAGTTGTTTTGGTTTTTTAGTTTTTAAAAACATGTTACTGTTTTTTGTTTTTTAAAACAAGCAACTAAAAACAAATTACCCAATCAGTTTTTTTGTTTTTCTGTTTTTAAAAACTAAAAATTATTTTCAAAACAAGAAACCAAGCAGGCCCTATGTTATTATGACTTCAATACAAAATAGATGATACTAATATAAAAAGAAATATACTTTCTTCTACTAAAAAATAGATAATTTCTAATGCATTTCAAATTTTCAATTATCCTTCAACTTCTGGTGAGTTTTATGCATACTTCCATCTCTTCATGATGAAGGGAAGGATGGTGTAATTTGAGCATTTCTCTGGCCGAGTAATTTATCTTTTCTTTTTCTAAGTGAATTAATGGTATTTATAATGTGATTCAGTAATTGATACAAGTATAAGTATAAATATCCGTCGGCAAAAAAAAGAAAAGAAAAGCAAAACTATCCGAACTGAGAAGGCTTTAAGGCTAATTTATTGGCTGGGCTGCTACATCAAGTGTCAGTAAAGTGATAAACCAAAATTTTCGCTCTCCAGAATTATAGGGAAAAAAAAAATTCCACGATGTTGCTTAATCTTCTCTCTGTTATTTCCGGAGCGAAAAATTGCATGATATTGGTTAATTGCTGTAGACATATGATGTATTGACTGTTGTTTAAAATGCTTATTGCTCGCAATGCACTGATTCTTAGGTGGGAAAAATATGCAGTTGATTTTTGTTGTCTCAGGTCTCAGCAAGGTCCACACACTTGCTATAAAATACTCGAGCACTGATTCTTTGGGAGTGCTTGTGTTGATCGGTGGCATTATATGTTGTAAATTCTGAAAATCGCAATGAGGACCAAATCTACTGGCATTCTCCAAACCTGCTTGGAATCTTGGATAGGTTTTCTTTATCGAAGAGGTCTTGCAGCGAGTATCATGGGCTTGCACACTTAACACTGGACACGGCAGAGTAAAAGGGTTCTCCTAGCAAGATAAATATTTATTCTTTTCGACTCTGTTGAGAATCAATGGGGAATCATACTGGCCTACTGTAATGTTTTCTAGGAATTAGGTAGTCAATCAGTTTAGAGATGCCGTCAAAATCGTTGTACAATTGAATTGTGCCTTCAATATCTAAGGTATAGGAACTTTTCTCTAGATGGATCTTCATAGTCATCGCTCTACTTTTTTTGATCTTGCTATTTTAATATCTTGTAGATTGCAAATAATATATGTTCACATTTGTTTCAAATTACAGACTTCCAATCTACACTCTTTTCGTTGACCCTCTTTTCTTGGCTCTTGTTCTTCATGTTCAATTTCATTTAGTGCCGAAGAGGCCGTTTGGTTGCTGGGAAGGATTAGAATGGAATGGATTGAAGAAATAAAAAACTAATGAAATAATTAAAATATGGAGGGGAGATATGTCAACTTCGTGAGGGAGAGGGTAATTTAGCTTATGAGAAGTCGTAACAAGGTTTCCATAGGTGAACCTGCGGAAGGATCATTGTTGATGCCAAAGTGAAAGCGCGACCTGTGAACCGGTTGACACAAGTCTCGGGAGGGGTCAGAAGGCCACAGGTGCCACTGCGCCTGAAGTCTCTGCTCGCGCACACCGGGGGCACGAGGATACTATTCATGGCTAATCTCACTTACGTTTTTTTCAAATTCCATCCCCCGAAAATCAGGATAGATGAGGTTTGTGGAAGTTGTGGTGATTTCCTTGTATGTGTTATTTAGTTTTCTATTCATGAGAAGGATGGTGTCGTGGTAAATGCACAACTCACTCATCATCCTAAAATAGAGACTTCATTTTCATTCTTTTAACCTAGACTCTAACGACTAGACAGGCCCTAAGTGTGAATCAGGATCCAAATTGAAGCCGGGTGTATATAATTAGGTCTCCCTCTCAGTTGTTACCGGCAGGTTTATATGCTTCTCGTCAGGTATTGTACGGCAATAAAATCGTTTGTGAAGGTGCCATGACCGATGGTATTAATGATTTGTTAGTTCCCTCTGCCTCATTTTCATTATGGCGGAATGCCCGTTCATACTCAGTCTCGATGAGTCATTTCTGAGGAAAAGGTCGGTTGGCATATTTCACAAGTGATGTGATTCGGGCAAATTTCAGGTCTAAAAATTAATCAATGGAAAATCGCATTTCAGGGATGTGAACTGAAGGGATTTTTTCACAAATTTAGTGTTACGAATTCTTGTTCACAGTACATATTTTATAATGACAGCGCAAAATGAGCAATTACATATTCAAAATAATCAAATAATTAAGATGCCAAATGACAGAGACGATGCAGCACAGAACCAGTAGGGCGAGTCTGAAATCGAGAACAAATCAAAATTGATTGATATTAAGTAGTATCAGGCTATTTATCCTTATGAATCTCCAGCTTTAAACCCCCTGATAAATGGTGAACATAGTCATGCTAACGTCATCATAACCATTGGAGACGATCCTCTGTTTCGAGAGATTGCTGGCAAATAAGGAAGGTATTCCGGTTTTTATTTGGCCAACACTGAATGGGAGACGAGAAAAGGGAAAAAAGATAAGAAATTCGAACATAAAAAAGTGACAAGGGAGAGATTTACGTGGTTGTGGAAGAAATGGGGATCGCTGTCACTAAGCAGAATATGAGAGTTGAAAGAACGAACTTCGGTGGATCACAGGACAAAGGGGGAGAATGAATTCATACTCGTCCGCGGAGAATCACAGATGGAAACATCGCCATTGGTTGCCATATTCCCCCCACTGTTGCTCCGGCGTCCTATCACACGTGTATGGATTCTTCGGGTTCCAACATCAACGAAGGAGCCCTCGCAAGCCCACAAGCATGCAACTCGTGGGCGGAATTTGATTCTCTATTTCTATCAACGTGAGAACATGAACAGAATCCATATCTGTTCAGATTTCACATAAAGTTGTTAGCATACGGTTCTCCAAAGCAACGTTCCTGTTTGAATCTTCGTCTTTATGCCTCTCCCTGAAGGGAGGGGAGAAAGAGAGTCCGAAGGCAGAGTCTTTTTCTATATAAGAGGAACTCGTGAGAGGCTTTAAATTAACAACTCCTCCACTATTCAGAAGAGGGCAAGGTGTGAGATAAGCCGCCATGGAATACTCGTACCAGAACTACTCCCCCTACAAGACAGATGAACCCTATGGTTCTGCAACAAGAAGGCCCTTTGTTCCTTTTGTTCCCAACTCCAACCGTGACCCAGAAGGCTATGTGAGTAGGAAAACAGTCGTACCAGTGGCTACCAGACCATATGGTGATGACTACTACACACATGGCTCTCCAACCAAAGGTCACTCCATCAGAGACGATGATGATTATTTACAAAAGCAGAAAGTCGACGAGTTCCTGATCCACGTCCATAATGAAGGTAGCCGACCCTCTGCACATGGAAGTCCCGTTCGAAACGACAACTATTACAGGCACGGTGGTGGCTATGGCAACTATGATGGCTACAACGACGGCGGACGCCGCAAGCCAATCGGAAGCTACCCTCCAAACGACAGCTACGATAGGTATCAGCCTGCAGACGCCTACAGTTCCTACGAACCACACAGAAACTCTGCCAATGGGTGGTCCAGGCCTCCTTCAGGTTGGACTCCACCACCCAGAAACGGGACCCAACTGAGTGAGCCAACCAGTGATATCGGAAAAGCCCTGGGGTTATTGAAGGAAGCTGCAAAGGTGTCATCCCCCGCCTATGGTGACTACGGCAACAGAGGAAGGCCAAAGGACGAGAGCTACTACGGGTCGGACAGGCCAAACCCGTCAATATGGGCTGAGCCACCCGGTAACGGCGGTTCTCATAATCGCGAGCCGAGTAAAGTGGGAAAGGCGAGGGAGCTGGTGAAGGAAGCTGACAGGCTGAAGTCTCTGAAGAATAAGCTTCTGGGTGAGCCAAAAAAGCAGCACAAGGATGACTACCACTACAGAGAGCCCGTGGACACCACAGACCATGCAAGGCGGTATGGAAACTTGAACCTTAAATCACGAACACGCACTTCACTACCCTCAGTTTTTAATAATAGGAACTATTAACAGGTGGGAGGATCAAAGGCGCTATGGAAACAACATCGACAACTGGCAGGCTCAGAGGAAGTACAACGGGGCCAGCATCTGATAATCAATTCCATGCAGATATGAGTTTATTAGTTAATTACTACTAGCCAACAAATACTATTGCGTGCCAGTCTAATCTTCCAGGTCGGATCCTCTTAATTCGAATAAGTGGTCTAATATTTCTTGTGTACGTGTAATGACCCAAATCTCTAGTCTCTTACATTTGGAGTGTTACATTCAGATACACCACATACGCACACAGGAATTCCTCTGTGTGGTTGTCTTTTAGGCTTATCTCTTAGTCTGTATCTGGTGATTTCTTTAGGTTTTGTCACCGTTGGTGCATGAAACCAACTGAGGTGACAGAGGATAGCTGCATCAACTATGAACAAGAGCCAGCCTCTTACGTCAGTGATTCTATAAGACGGTGATGAGTATGGCCATTTAAATAAATCAATTATTATAGTATGTCAAAACATCTATACTATCTTCTTTACCTAGCTGGCGAGAGATTTTTTTATTTTTTCAAACAAATGGGAAATTTAGGAGGCCGGTTAAATTTGTCTCTGACGCATATCAAGTTAGGGGAAGTAGTGTTGCTCTAAACCAGAATCCGAAGTCGTGGTTTTTTTCCACATAAAACTTGAGACAGATTACACAATATTACTCTGCCTGCCAGAACGCATGAGGAACTTATGGATAAATAATCAATCCATGCGAGAACATAATAACAATAGACGAACAAGGAATCTAAAATAATAATTCAAACACACGCCTATGAAATGGCCTGGGCTATTTTATAAGGTGACCCACTTAGTAATTTCAAAATCAATTTCTGAAACTTGTGTCTCCATATTATTGGATACGTTGGATCGGAGGTCTCACAATTGAAAGGCGTTTTTTCGTCTCAAAACTTGACTTCTCCTGACAAAATCAAAAAAGGTTACACAACATAAACTTTCAAAATACCATTCTCAGCTGTGAATTTGATAGTACAAATATAATATAGAGCAGACTATGGGGGCCCTTCAATGGAGTAGCAGAAATAATTGATAAGATTGATAAGCAAATGGCAATAATTTTGTAAAATAGATCCTGCATGTAATTTTCTAATTTTAAAGTCTTTTTTTACAATTTTTCCTTTTATACACGCACATGTATCAGGAAAGAGGCCAATTCAATGTTCATAGAGTTACGATAAATGATAATGGTAAGTGATAGTTATATCCCACTTGGCTGTTTTGACTCTTAATGATGGTGAAGGGCCAACTTTGCGTGCGACGTTTCGACTGGATAATTATGGACCCTTGCTTGACATCAGGTCGGTGTCAGTTTCTTCTATCGCTTGTCACACACTTGTTTCCTCGATTATCAGTCAAAACTGAAAGCTTTGTTTGAAATGGACGATTGAATGAGATTCAGGGCCCGTTTGATACACTGAATTGATTTTGATGGAAATGGATATAGACATGGACATGGAAATGGATATGGGAATGAGGTTTAAAATCATGTTTGGTATCACATGGAATTCGGATATTATTTTTATTAAATATTATATTTTAAAATGTGAAAGTACTAGGATGTCCTTGTCGAGAAAAATCCTAACAGTACCCAAATATCGAAACCACCCTTGACATTATCGTCATCCTCGTTAAAAAACCAAACCCAATATCCAATCAAACACAAAAGATCCATTCATAAACATGTGTAGAATCAAATTAAACGAAAACGTCTTGCTTGAAATTGAAGAACAAAATAAAAGATGACTTGGTGATGAATAAAGACAAAGTGGGGAAGACAGATTTGGCCATCGTGATGCTTTGGAATGAGTTACTGTTGAGCTTCAACCACTATCATGGATTTCTGCCACCACTATCAACCTTCTCCTTCATCTCTTATTCCTCTTCTGCTTTGTTACTCTTTCCTTTTTTAGCATGGATTTTCTTATTTTGTTCCAGATTAAGTTTCAAATATGTGTGGAGAAGAAGACGAAACTCCACTAACTATCCAAACATCATCACCTTTCTCGGAAAATCAATCTAGATCTAATCAAACTCAGCAATATCAAATCAAATGCAAAAAAAAACATACGAACAATTAAAGATCTCGAGAAGTCAAAGGCAGAGAAGATGAAGAAGGTAGAGAAGTCGAAGGTCGGGAAGAATTGAAGATCTAGATTAGAACGTTGCAGATCCGTCAATCTCGCCATCGATGATGGTGATAGAGCTAAAGAAGTCGAAGACAAGGCGGGGATATATAGGAGGCAGAGATCTCCGAAGGAGGTGTTTATCTTGTTGCCTCGTCAGAGATATGGGAAGAAGATGAGTCGTCGTCAGGGTGGCCGGAGATCACCGTTGTGGTTTGCCGTCAACGTCATGGTAGGCTATAGGTTAGTGATGAAGTGATAGAAATCTAAACAAAATGAAGGATGAGGGGCAAAACTAGAATTCCGTGGGTTACCTGATGGAAGCCAATTCCATCAATTTTGAGGGGACTGGCTTTCACATGGAATCCAATTCCATGATCCATTTTCTGTACCAAACAAATTTTGTGGTAGAAATCAATTCTATTTTCATATCCACCCCCAAAATTCCACCATACCAAACTGGCTCTTAGGACACGTTCGCTTGAAGTTGGCATTACAAGTTGGAGAATTTCTCTTCGACGTCTATAATATTTTATAATTATTATTTATGTTTATCTTATTGTTAAAAAGTTGACATAAAAAGGATAATTTACTTCTTGTGTACGCATATTACTTCTAAACACTCTTAATGGATTTGCCTACACAACCATATACTTAAATATAGGTTACTGACTTGATTCACCCAAAAAAAGGGTTACCGATTTGAATGGGACAAATATCTAATGTGATTAGCATTCAACATCAATAAACAAATTTTAGACTAAAACAAAAGTATCTGTTTCTCCCGGAAGAATAGACTTATTTCTCGCCAAATACAGAGAGCCAAAGTCCTGTTGAAATTTTGAAAATTGAAATTATACTTTCTGACACTGCTCCCAGAAAAATGTTGGCAGCCCATTGAAAAACTTGGCGTCATATGACGGATAAAATTTTGTAAGTTTGTTGTCATTATGAACCGTCGGTTGATAAACGACTCCATTTACACATAGTGATGAAATAAAGGGATTCAGTCAATATTTATGAATAAACTGCAGACAATAATCTAAGTAGATTGCACATGGAAACTAACAGAAAACGACAAATTACAGAGTTGGATGATTCTAAAACTTTGACCGACCCAACAACATGGTTCCCAGTTTGTAAATCACTTTTGAAAAAATTTGCAGCTCAACAAGTATAAGCCCAAAAAAACTGCATGAACATTTTATGACATTGATCAAATTACATTTGAAAGTAAGTCCTGATTAAAGCTGTTACGTAAATTAAGCGAGAAGGCTTAAAAAGAATGAAAGGAGGATTCTATGACTGAGAAAAATCAAACAAGTTCTTGAAGTTGGGTGTTAATTTTTCTCAAGGTTTGGTTTCAATGGAAGGAAATATTAGAAAGACTATGAAAAATAATATTTTCTTCTATTTTTTTTAATGGAGGAAATAGCCATAGAGATTCTGAAAATCAGTCATGGACTCATGGGATATATTATTACCCGTGCCTTTGGAGACAGTAAGTAATAAAATGGCCGTCAATTTAGCGAATAGGAATGCGATCTGATCATGACATGTAAAAGCAGAGATCTGGGGCTTTGACTTTATGAGAAAATGGGAAGATCCGATCCTCCCCCTGCGTGACTACTGCTTCCCTAGTCTCACACCCAGAAAAGACGGCAAAAGGCCAAACAGTACAAGGACCAGACAGCAACAAACGCAGCTCACAAGTACTAGCGACAACAATCCCGACTAACCCATATTCTGTTTCTATTACTGTAAGACTTCCATCTTTGATACAGCACAACCTTTTTTTTGTTTTTTGGGTAACTTTTTCTGTCTAAACCCGTCCAATTCCTTATCCAAGAATCTTTCGTTTTCACTTCCTATCAATTCAGATCACTCTCGCAACTACTGAATCTTGCTTCCTTTGACTCAATTTGAAATTCCTCGGTTCGTGGTCTGCTTCGTGGCTCATTAATCTTTAAACCTTGGAAGTTTACTTTCCGATTTCGAACTCTGCGCATCACATGATGCATCTTCGAGGATGAAGTAAATAAGTATTTATCTACTTTTTTGTGCTTGCGTTTCTGATCGTATTGTAGCGCCCTTATTGATAATTGCAAGAAACCGAAAGATAGACCATGTCAAGAAATGACGCTTAGATTCAAGAAATGGGGTGTGTGATTAGTCGAGAAGTGTCATCGGGAATAATCTCTGAGGTGAAAGAGGAGAAGAATTTGAGTAGCGATTCGAGGAGGAAGGTAGATGAAACCTCTTCTCAGAACGTGGTAGAGGCTCAGAACGGTGGGAAACAAAAAGAAGAGAAGGGTGGTGGTGATGAAGGGATCCAGGCCCAACGGCCAAGGGGTGAAAGGAGAAGATCAAAGCCAAATCCAAGGCTAAGTAATCCTCCCAAACATGTGCGAGGAGAGCAAGTAGCAGCTGGATGGCCGCCCTGGCTTACGGCTGTTTGTGGTGAAGCGCTTAGTGGATGGATTCCCCGAAAGGCTGACACATTTGAGAAAATTGACAAGGTAGGCTTGTTTTCGCCTTTTATTGATATGAGAATGGTATTATCAAAACTCAGTATGTATTACTGTTCAATTTGTGATCCTCATATGCTTTTAATTATTTCTGTTCTCATACTCTCTCTTAATCGTTTTCCTTTCATGCTAGATTGGCCAAGGAACGTATAGCAATGTGTACAAGGCTAAAGATATGTTAACGGGTAAAATTGTCGCTCTTAAGAAGGTTCGATTCGACAATTTAGAGCCTGAGAGTGTAAAGTTCATGGCTAGAGAGATTCTTATTCTCAGAAGATTGGATCATCCCAATGTTGTAAAGTTGGAAGGTTTAGTTACATCAAGGATGTCATGTAGTTTGTATCTGGTATTTGATTACATGGTGCATGATTTGGCTGGACTTGCTGCAAGCCCAGGAATCAAGTTCACAGAGCCTCAGGTTAGATCAGGTTTGCCTTGCAATTTTGAGATGATGGATTTCGGTCAGTGTGCATTCTTTTGGAGTGGTGACACTCACTGTTTTATAATACCGTGTGGCTCTTGTTGCAGGTCAAATGTTACATGCATCAACTACTTTCTGGACTTGAGCATTGTCATGAACGGCACATACTTCACCGCGATATTAAAGGATCAAATCTTCTTATTGATGATGGTGGAGTACTTAAGATTGCTGATTTTGGACTGGCTTCTTTCTTTGATCCAAACCACAAACACCCCATGACTAGTCGTGTAGTTACACTTTGGTATCGGCCTCCTGAGTTGCTTCTTGGTGCCACGGATTATGGTGTGGGTATTGACCTCTGGAGTGCAGGTTGTATTTTAGGGGAGTTATTGGCCAGGAAGCCAATTATGCCTGGTCGTACAGAGGTAACCAGAAACCTTTTGTCATATTAGATGGAAAGCAAATGCTAATTGCAATGTTTATCACTTCTTTATAGTCAGCATTTGCTAATGAAGAATAGGAGGTATTATTGATGAAGCGGGTAGAAAAATTTCATTGCCTTCAGTTGTTTAGTTAGCGAATGTGGACTAATAAATAATATATCGCTTAATAATTTTGATGTTTACTACATTTCTGATTATCTTAGTGTCTCTTTGGGATTAATGGTCATTTTTCATATCCTTTCTTGAATACTTAAATAGGTAGAGCAACTGCATAAAATATACAGATTATGTGGCTCCCCGTCTGATGAGTATTGGAAGAAGTCAAAGTTGCCTCATGCTACCTTATTTAAACCTCGTGAGCCATACAAGAGATGCATAAGGGAGACATTTAAGGATTTTCCACCGTCTGCTCTGCCCCTTATTGATACTCTTCTTGCTATTGATCCAGCAGAAAGGAAGACAGCCTCAGATGCGTTAAAAAGTGAGGTGGGTTGATCCTCTTGTCAATGAAAACCCAGTGTGGAATTCTCAATTTGTGTTGCTTTGCCAATGTTGTTTTTCAGCTCCATATAAATGAAATTTGAATATTTGTTCAACTTGAAATTGTTGGTGCATCAGGGGGAAAAAGAGGATAATTTTATAATTTACTCTTCTCTCCTAGAGGCGTCTAATTTGCAAGGCCCTTCCTCTATTTCAAAAAATACTCTTCCCTCCCTTGAATCAAAAAAGCGTGCTGCACTGACCTTTTGGCAAAAGATAAGCTACAATTACATTACATCCATTGTGACCAAAATATGTGCCCAAAATACTTTTATGCCTATTATTTATATAAATATAATGGGTGATTAATATGTATTTGACCAATTTAAAAAAAATGAATTTTTTTAAATTCACAAGTATTTTTCTACGAAATTATATTTTTCATATAACTAATCAATATTATGCTTGAGGGTATTTTAGTTATATTTTAATCTCAAAGAATTTGTGTGTATTTTTATGTTAGAGTAATGGATTGCATAATTTAAACATCTCGAGGAGGAAAGAGTAATTTATAAAAAAGTTATATTTTTTGTATCTTAAAGTAAGTTATTTACAAGTTAAAATAAAAGAGAGTAATTTACAAACCATGAACGTAGGTGTTCAAACAGGATGGTTGAGAATAATCAGATCATGCTGTTTCAAAGGGAATAGTTATTTTCATTCTGTACCAGCCTTTCAAATTTTAAGCCATGCCTATGGTGAAAAATGAATTGCGTGTTGAACAGGATTAGCTTATTCTACCCAGTACTAACATGGTGGGTGTTTGGATTGCCATTGAAGTGAATATGTTTTGTTGTGTATTCATTGGGTGTAAAAGTTGATATAGTGCTTACACGTATGGATGGCACGTTACAATTGTATGAAATAGTAAAGTGTCTTGAATCTGGCTTAAAATATTATCCTTGATGAGTTTGCTTCTTTTTACTTGTTTTTCCTATTGTCTTGCAGTTCTTCACAACAGAACCATTTGCTTGTGATCCTCCTAGTCTTCCAAAATATCCCCCAAGCAAGGAAATGGATGCTAAACGACGAGATGATGAAGCAAGGAGGTATTCATTCTCTTAAATTTGATTGCTTTTTATATGGTTAACTACATTTTTCTTATGCTGTAAGCTTATGGCTGTGTGCACTACTTGAGTTGGTGAGTGGATAACGGGGTGCTCACTTTGTCTTACATTCATCCACACCCACCCAATTTCTTGGGGTCACTGTCTCTGCTAGTTATAATGTAGTCATTGTATTGTTTTTGACCAACTCTTGAATGAATCTTTGACATGGATGTTCAGATTGAGAGCTGCAAGCAAAGCTCAGATCGATGGTGCAAAGAAACCACGAACACGTGAACGTGCTAAAGCTATTCCTGCCCCTGAAGCCAATGCTGAGCTTCAGTCTAATATTGACGTATGTTCAATTGTTCATATAAGTACTTTTTCATTTCCTGGGTTATGTGTTTGATGCTTATATTATGTAGTCAATTCATAGGCAGAAGCTGAGGATATTATATCCTCCAAGAATGCATAATTAAGTAAAGCGTCTGAAATTAAATTGGAAAAAATGCTAGGGTTTGGCAACTCTACTTTACTGACGTTTCTCATGGAGGATTGTTGACTGAGCAATAATGATGGGTTTTAACATTAGATTGTTAAGCTTTTTGCACTACTTCGTCTTAGGAAGTACAAGTGAGAGTAGATTAATAATCTTAAGCGTGTACGGGAGTCCCATCTTTCATAAGTAAATTTGAAAAGAGAAAACATGTATCCGCATGCTTATGAATACTGTTAATCATAATTTATTATGTTTCTGAATAACAGAGAAGGCGTCTAATCAGCCACGCGAATGCCAAGAGCAAGAGTGAAAAGTTTCCTCCGCCACATCAAGATGGACAACTTGGGTATCCTTTGGGAGCTTCGAATCATATAGATCCTGACATTGTTCCTCCTGATGTCGCTTTCAGTTCAACTTCATTTACTTATTCAAAGGAACCATTCCAAGCTTGGTCAGGTCCCATAGGTAATACTGCTGCCATTGATGCACCAAAGAAGAAGAAGAAACACACAGCAGCTGATACGTTGGATTTATCAAAATCACACAGAGTTTGCACAAAGGATAAGGTTAAAGGAAAGAAAATCAAAGCCTAGCTATTTACTACATTCATTCATATAGAGAAAATATATTCAAGTAATTCCGATGCCTCTGCCACATCATCCACGGCGGTCAACTGCTGTGAAGTCATCTTTTAACTGCCTGCCTTGCTGGCTGCCCCTGAGTGTGAAGTACATTGCTTCGTTAAAGTGCAAGGATTTTTTTTTTTTTTTTAAAGACAATTTTTTTGATCTCCTTCACTTTTTATAATTTTTTATGTATTGATCTCTCTAGAAGGATATATGACATTCTTGTGCCCAATTTGTTCCAAGGATTAAAGAATCTACTCAACAATGTATATTGTGACTTTATTTTCGGTTCTTTTATGAGACCCTTGTGTCAATATCTGGAATCTTTCTAATTTGTTGAAAATTGTAAGTTTTCGAGCTGTTCTGCCCTGGTTCCTGAGAGTGAAAAATGTAGATGTGACACACCAAAAAGGAAATTAAAAATAGGGGAAAAAAGAAGAGTGGCAACTAAGCTTCCTCAAATGAAGAGCGACGATTTGCCAAGCCATGACCGTTGCCTTCAGTCGCTACGCTCTGTGGATTTCATGATTCAAGTTAAAAATGGTTTCTGGCGTTCACGAATTCGAGTTGTTTTGTGAACTATTGGTGCTCGGTATAAAATCATTGGACATTAATATTCTAGGTAGCCGCAGGTCGATGAGCCAATGTTTGCCACCTATTCTCTGTCATTGTTGACCCTGTTGTCCAATTATTTGGTTGCTTTCAGATCTTGTAAGGAGCCAATGTCAAAAGTCAGTATCATAATCTTGCATATCATGAAAGAACGACATTGAATCTTAATTAGAAACGAAAGCTGAGTCGTAATATGTATATGTATGAATTTTGTCTCGAGTTTTAACGCGCGCCAAAACTTTGACCGGTGAATTTACTCTACTCCCTATGGATAAGATTTGAGCATACTTGAAGAGGGAGGGCAAAAATTTTTTTTTCCGAGCAAGGACTGCTTTGAAGGGTAGATTGCACCGGAAGAGCAGGTGAGGGAAGAGGGTATGATCACGCAGAGAAATAGATGCTTCAAGTCTAGGAAAAACCCTCTAGGCATTCTATAAATTCAGAAGCAACGGAGGAACCATCTCTCACATTTGTGTTCCATACTTCATCTTGTAGCTGCAGAGATTTTGCTTCCTTTGGAGATAAATTAAATAGTAATGGATCCAGGAGGGCCGCCTGGTTGGGGACCGCCCCAGCAAGAATCGGGGCTTTGCGGTGGCCTTTTTGATGCTATCGGTGCTTGGTAAGTAGATTCCAAACCACCATTGACTCTTTTTATTTTTTACCACTATTTTTGCCAATTTTCACCACGATATATAGCATTTGAATTGCTAGACGATGCAATTGGCCTAAAACTTGTTAGACAAAGAAAAAGCTGAAATAAAGGTGGGATATCTTTTAATCGATGCTTCGAAAATAACAACCCAGATGAAGAAGAAAAAGACACTTTTTTTCTTTTCATGGACATTCGTTATTCCTTGATTTTGTTTAGCACTGTGAATGCTACTTCTGATCCTTATGCTTTCATGGTATTTGTTGACAGCCTGAGCTTTTTGTGCTGCTGCTGGTTACTAGAAGACTGCTTCGGAGGTGCATCCGGTCCACCTGGTCCTCCATAAGCCCCTTTTTTCCAAGTTCCCAAACTGGGACTGCGGTCTGTAACATTAATTAGGGCTCTGCCCCTTTGTGCCTCTTGGTTTGTAATGATTTTCATGTTCTTTAGACAGTTTGATTCGCTTGTATTTCTTTAAATCTGTCTCACCTGAGGACGTTGTATTCCAATAATGATTGTATGGGGTTCAATCGCCACTCGGGCTAGTTGTCTTTTAGGGCTTTCTGCCCTCTGCATTATTAACCCCAAAAAAAAAAAAAATTTGTTTTGCACTCTTGCTTCAAGGACGCCATCCTCCAGGCGCAATTCAAAATCTATCCACATTTACATCAATCGCAAGTTGTTCAGTCAATGCAAGTTTTATTTTTTATTTATTTATTATAAACAAGAATGGAATCAGCCCAGGAACTGATTAGGATTATTACATTACAATCATAGGGAAGCAAAAGAAATAAGCGGGGAAGAGAGGTCCCATTTGGCATGAAATATTAAAAATGAGGGGTAGGGATTATGATTAGAATTGAAAAAGTTTATTAAAAAAAAGTTTACCATGAGAGATTACTTATTATATGAAATTAAACAAACCCATGTGTGCGAGATTGAGAAATACCATAGAAAAAAATAATATTTCTCAATCCCATCTTCATGAGTTTATCTAATCTTATATAACAAACTATTATTCTCGCTAAATATTTTTTAGTGATTTTTTTTAATTACAACCTTAGTCTCTCTTCTTTATTTTCAATGGTTTGTATCAAACGGGAGGCAAGAAATCCTCCGTCATATAGCTGGTGGTTCCTAGTTGTAGGAGTCATTTTGACCTCCCATTGTCCCCGAAGCACAGGGCGGACGACTGTCCCAATTGATTCCTAGAGTTTGGGACATGATTCCTTCACTAGTAGCGTGCTTGCCTTCAAAAATCCGTATAAGCCAACGGAGTGGTACGTGCAAAATAACCTAATCATTCTCAGTGTGTTTTAAGATTCCATTTGAGTTATTAACAGGAGTTGATCTAATTGGTAAAGGACTAGTTCATAACTTACAAGATTATGAGTTGAATCCCATTGCCAATACAAGGGACCTTGTTGGTGAATAATTTGTAAATACCTTGTAAAAGCTCTTTAAATTTAGAAACAACTCATCTAAACTTTTTTATGTTAAAAAAAAATTCCATCTGAAAGCCAGCACTGCAAAACCATCCTGAAAGATAATGACAAAGCACATGGAGGATATCTTCTATCCCCTCCATTACCTTATCCCCAGTGTTTGATCCTGCACGTTTCTGTCCAATCTTCGCTAATACTCCTCCGGTCCTAATTATAAGACCCAATTGACTTATTTGAGGAGATTAAGGAAGTAAGTTAAGTTGGTTATTTATAATAAATAAGTGTTGTCATTCCTAAAATATCCTTGCTAATTAAGTATATTGGCTAAAACTATCATTATTAGAAGGATTATCTTGGAAAAAAATGCATAAATAAGAGACAAAATGGATTGGGTCTTATAATTAGGACCAAATAAAAAGTCAAATTGGGTCTTATAATAAGGATCGGAGGAGTATATCATTTCCACATTTATATTTTTCACCAACGACTCCAACCCATAGATCAAATTCCAGCTCGGTTTCATTATGTAATCTTGAATTTTAGTTCTAGCGATAAGTTTTGGTTACCAATTTCACATTATTATATGAATGTTTTTTAAATATAAATAAATTTATGTTAACCCAAAAATAAAGTTATATTTTTCTGAGATGAATAGCTTCATCTCAGGAAAATATCGAAGCCGCCGATTAATAAGTGATCGATGATTCTCTATTAACCATGCGAACATACCATCCCATCTTATCACTTTGAATTATTCTGAAGTGGCAGAAACAAATTAATGATTAATAATTTAGATTTATTTAGATGTTATTTGTTTTCCGAACCGTCTGTCAATATTGAAGCTAAACGATTTTTTTTGGGGAAATTGCAAAAAAAGATCTTGGAATTGCAAAAACGCAGATAGGGACCCTTGACAACTTCACTTTGGGTTTTGACAACTTCAGGGCATATTATTCTTGTCAAAACCTAAAGTGAAGTTGTCAAGGTCCCTATCTGCGTTTTTACAATTTCAAGGTCTTTTTTTGCAATTTTCCCATTTTTTTTTGATTTTTTTTGATTTTTTTGAAAATTTATAATTAAAGCATTATTTTTGTTTTATGTAATGTTTCTTACAAAAACAAAACAAAATAAAATGGTCTAAAATACTTATATGTAAATCCAAATTTAATCTGTCCTATCCAAATTTGCTGTAGCAAAGCAGCAACGGATATTGCTGGTAAAAAAAAAAAAAGCAGCAACGGATATAAAATAAGAGAATTAAGAATCATATATCCGTTGAAAAGTACCACCTGAAAGTGAGGCTTGGTTTCTTCATTCTCCGAGCAACTGATTGGCGCACGAAATGAAAGACCCTCAGCTCACCGAAAATTGAGTTGCTTTATGAATTCACTGGCCCCACAAAAAAAAAAAAAGAGGAAAAGAAAAGACCTTTAAATAAACTTGAAAAAGGAGAGGAGAAAATGGGGAAAAGGGAATCTGAGCTGGTACAGCATCAGATAGATAGGGCAGTGGTGCTCTTGGGCGGTTTATTGGTTGAACTTTAGGTTGGAAGAATGGCAGATGATGATGATAAGAATACCAGAACGTCAATAAGATAAGATGTTTCACTTACCAGTCAAAAGATGCTTCACTTACCAGTCAAAAGGGGTCCAAGAAGCTTCACGAATTCTTGTGGATTAAGTTTTCTGGCTACGTCAAACAGTGTGTTTGTGTCTATATATGTATATATGAGAACAGGCAGGCTGCGTTCACAGAGAAACAAGAAACAGGGAAGCTGAGCAACTGAAAGGAAGAAATGCCGCCGCCATGGGGTCCACCGCCACCAGGCCCGCCGGGACCATCCGGATGCTGCGGGGGTCTCTGTGATGGCATCTGCAACCTTTTCTCTTCTTGGTGAGTGCAATTTTTCTTCTTACGAATTAAAAACATATTTTAGGAGAGTTAAAGATGGGTGCTAATGTTTCAACTCAAATATGATTTGCCAGCTTCTATATTCTGTGCTGCTGCTGCCTCTTCGAGAGCTGCTGTGGACCATTGTTCGGTGGACGTCCTCCGCCTGGACCCCCCGGACCGCCCTTCTGATCCGAATATGATTTGTAACACTTGTGTATTCTATCTGTGCAACTACTTAAGAGTTTGGTCCGCCATGTGAGTTGACTGTAATATTTCTTCATAATAATACTTTATAATCCCCCTTCAAATGGCAGCCTTATAAGTCTTGTAATTGCGTTAAGCGTAGACGGACAGACTAACAACGCCATTTGTAAGGAAGATGTTTGCAGACAGGCTGATAGAAAATTTTCCTAAAGCATTGAGATGGCTTTTGTTTGGTAAATACGAATTAAAAGGTGGATCAGGAAATTAATCATATAAAAAGATCAAAATGTCCCCATAAAATAGAAGCTACTCATATTTATGACCTTTGAATATGAAATTGGATATGAGAATGACCCCCCGTCTAAGCATACAACCGATGAAAACCCAACAGATCTGAGGAGATTCAAATCTGGGATGAATACAAGGACGAGGAGATCCATCCACCCACAATATTGAAAGCTGTCGCGTTTAAGATATTGGGAGCCGTCACAGGGTTGAGCTCAGCTTTGTTCTTTATCAAGCATTGAAAAAGGTTACGTGGAGAGGAAGGTTCAGAGATCCAAGTGGAAGAACGCCTCCCATCACTGCAACCCATTCAACCCGGATCCAAGCATGAATTGGAATCATTAAACATGGTCGCCGTCGCCACTGGGGTGCTCAACCACCTGAGAAAGGATGGAAGGAAGAGAGCTCGGATGAAGGACAAGACCATTCAATCCAATCATAGTCGCTGTCAATCCAGTGGCCGTTACCATGCTGAACCCAGCTCTCGAGTGATCTTGAAAATTTGAAAAATGATAGAGGGCATTATTGTTTTGGCTGGCAAAATTATTTTCATGGGAAAATATGGAATTCCCACTAGGGGAGGTGGGAACCCAATTTCCTGATTTTTCATGGAAATTCATTTCCTAAGAGCTTAAACCATACAACGGAAAAAAGGGATTTCAGCTTCTATTTCCGTTTCCTATAGCCAAATTCCAGCGAACCAGACAGGCCTTCGAGTTCAATTCATCAACAGTTCTCTGCAAGCCATTTATCATTCTAACCTAATTTCTATCACAATTTACAATACGTGCCAAGTTTTAAATCCCTTTCTTACCTCCATGAAACAAGGCAACACGTGTGTTCATCGCAGTAGGATACTTATTTTGAGATTTAAAAATTATATTCAATCTACATTCAAGGCCATGTGACCGGCTGAGACCGTTGGCGTAAAAAATTTCGCACAAGCACTACCGCAGTGGATAAAATTAAGAAATCATAAACGTATAAATTTGAGAACCTATGCTATGACTGGTGTGACATTTAGATTTCAGCGTATCTACTAATTTCATTGCCAGGGTGGATGAAAGCACAAATTCACCTCTAGGGCCAGGGATGTCTGACAAAAGTTCAATGTTCTAAAATGTTACAACGTCCAAGAGCCATGCCCAAACAAGACTTCGCCATATGGTTTTCTATTCTTCATCATCGTCTTCTTCAGGAGCCTCTCGTAACCACTGGACCAAAAAGAACAGATATTGCATTTTTTTCAGAAAAAAAGTAAAGCTAACCACAGGTTGTGAACATGCGCGGCTAAAGTAATAATGATACTAACTTGAATAAAAGTCTGGGCCTGCTTAACGAAAACTTTATCCGTCTCATCTGCCTCTCTCTTCTCGTCTTCCCAACTTAAAACGGCATCTTCTCGTATGATATCTTTGTCATACATAATACTCAAAATCTGTATAAAGAATTATTTAAAAATAAGATGTCATAATAGGGGGGAACAAAAATAGGAACATATGGTGAGAGCACATCGAACAGTTAACTACAACTATATTGAATGTAAGCAGGACAAGAAGCTAGCATCAAGAACGTTCTCAAACCCAGAATCTCGGGTTGGTTCATTGCCAACGAAAGAGCTAGACAAACGCCCAAGAAGAAAAATTTGAAATTCCAGTAACCTTTCCTCATGTGTTAAAACCCATCTCAGCATATTATTAACGCAACAGATTTAGAAAGGATGGCGGTGCAAAATTTTTATATCAAACGGCTTTTTTCAGTAACAGCCTTTATAAATTACAATTCATGAAACCAAAGTAAATTAAAAGAATATACACGTCGTTACCAAAGTTCAGAGAACCATCTTCTCCGAGGTGCATGCAAACAGAGACACAAATACAAATCCAAACTTAAGGAGGATAACCATACCTTTGTGAACAATGGAGCATACTCTTTAGCAGATTCCAGGCACATTTCTTCAAACTTCAGTATCACTTCAATCTGAAGTGAAAATAACGAATGAGTCAATGACAGACCATGAGGGCATCTGACGCATAACTGTATCATACCAAACAACGGAGGCTATCCATATCTTAAAAAGGTTGACAGAGAAGTACCAAAACAAAAGAAAAGGCTAATACATGATTTTTATTCACCTAGAGAAAACTTATGAACCGGTGCCAAGAGATGTGCTTTAGAAAGCTCTAAAAAGAAGGATGTTCATGTTGCTTATATTATAGCCATATTGGAAGGTCTTTAATCATGAGTTATAACCATCAACGAAAAAGTCTGTTTCATGAGGCGCAATTGGCATTGTAACAATAATGAAAACAGAAGTGAAAACTGCAAACTCTTCAATGCAGCTTAGAAGAACTTTTTGAAAGGGGGACTGTGGTGGCGGCCAGCAGACACAAACCTGCTCATCAATGTCAGCAAGGTAGGACGTTAGAAGTTTTCTCCATGTCGTTATTATACTGTCAACGTTCTGAACCAAGTTACCTGGACACAGAAAATAAAAACAACAAATATTTAATTATGGACTTTATAGCACATGACTATTCTCCTGCAAATGTCAATAAAAGCAATATCAGCTACTAAAATACTATCAATTGAGTCACCGTCCAGTCATTGCACCTAATAAAGAAAACAAGGCAAAAATCAAGAGTATCGCTCATGGGACTGGAGAGAAACACATCAGCTTATTCTTCCATGTTTCCAAATGCAGAACTCAATACCAAAACAATGCTAACAATTATTGGCCCTGCTTTTTTTTTTTTTTTGGAAGCTGGCTCCCGAACCTTGCAATTAAAAAGCAAGGCTGTAAACCGCAGAGGCCCAGAATAGCTTAGCATATTCTGGGATTCCTTATAACTATGCAGATAATGTTATTCAGATTCTAGAACAAGATAAGGTCGCATGTCTTCTAAGTACAATTGCAATTATAAATCTAAACAAATTATTCATCAAGAAAGTGATGGCTTATAAAATTAATTGGAAAATATTTATAAAAAAGGAATAGCAATAGATAACACTCACCAGCTGAACTATGGGGGATCTCCAAAGCGTATTTCATCATGGCATGGAAAATAGCTCCAGCACAATCAGCGGCTAACTTATTGTATGACAACCTGCAATGCAAAGAAAGCTAACAGCAATAATGCAAACTGAACTACATAGCAAAACATCATAAAACTAGATAAAATCCAAGCATATGTTGAGAACCAAGGTCCCAACAGTCACGCATATATTTTACAGATTTGGAGAATTAAACCAGTCTGGTTGCATGGTATATATGCACACTTTCCCATCTTTCTTTACGGGGAATGCAAAACTACTAGACTTGCTCCTTTGTTTAACATTCATGCACAACTTTCCGGACTACTTCGGTTTTACATGTGGTTCAAGAGGAATATAAACACGCACAACCTATGGTTCAAGAAGAATATATGTGTGTGTACGTGTAAAACATACTTGAGGGAGTTTACTTCCAAAATAACATGGTCTTCTTTTATGTTCTCGTGCACAGCCCTGAGAAAAGTTGCTTCGACCTGCAGCTCCAACAAATTACTTAAAATGGGCTATCTGCAAAATGATTGAATTATAAGCACATGTTAATAGTTCAAATCTCACCTCTTTCTCAAAGTATGAATCATCTCTGGAATATTCAATATCATCAATATCTGATTCATTAGAATCTGGTTTCAGCTCTCCAGAAGGTGGAAGAATACTGCCATCATGAGCCAAATCCAGATCACCTTCCAAAATTTCCACTGCCTCAGAAATTTTATCTGCAGGAATAGGAGCCACTGAATGCCTCCACTCTTCTTCGTGGCCTCCATCACATTTTGACCAAACATGACCAGCCCCACCCACACCTAACTGGTCAGCAAAAGAGCATGACGATAAGAAAACATTAGATCCAAATCTTTTGTAACAAAACCTAAAATTTCAACTATATAGCTGCGGGATTTAGTGGTCATAAATTGCAGATGGTGCTGATTTGCAGAAGTGGAAAGAATGGACAAAATTTGTTAGTAGGAAAGCATTAGGCACTAATGTGCTGAAAATACATATTAAGACAAGAAAATTAATTCTCAAGCAAATCCTTAGACCTAATTTGTCAAATATTCTAATAACACTTTAAGATAACTGCATGCATCTGAGCTAAATCTTCACGACCTGTCAAAAAGTCAAGTCATACTTAACACAATTGATGGGTGCAGTATATCAAAAAATCTCTAGGAACCAACCTCCGATGCAGAAGGGGATTGTGTCTCCAATGCTTGCGATGCAGCCTCTGCACCATACTTATCCACTAAGCTATTCATTGCTGCATACAAATAACTAATGCTGAAGTAAAAACGCAATTAGAAAATAGAGAGAGTAATATGATCAAGATTTGTCAAGAACTTTGAGATGAAAACGATTGACCTAGAGAAGTTAATCTAGCTAATCCCTAAAAAAGCTGAATTGTTCAGGCCCACAAGGAATATAGAAATCAATGTTTCTTGAAAAGTCACTACTGCAACGATGCCCGTGCTTTACAAAGAATAGACATCAAATGAAATTGCATTCAAATTTAGATCTCTAAAATATACATCTAAGGCTAAAGAAGATTCAGTTCAGTGGAAATCTCCAGATTAATTAGCATTAATGTGATTTTATTTATTTCCTTTATCCTTCTCCTCACAAATGAGTAAATAATCAGAGGTAGGATTTTATTGGTGCGCTGCTTGGTGTATCTATTGTACCCAATATTGATCAATAAGAATCAAGAAAATATTTCAATCTTCCTCGCTCATATTCCATGCTCAGCGAGAGTGGGCACAAAGTGCTTGTCACTAAAACAGCGTCGTTTTCCAGATCACGGTGCTATCTGAACCCATTCAAGTAAAATCAAATCCTGGCCGTTTGTTATTCCCCATTATTCTCATCTTTTCCAAATCTTCTCCCATTTTTTAATATGTTATTCCCCATTTGCTGAAATTCATAACAGCATCGTTTTCTGCAGAGAGCACCTGGTGCTCATCACAGCCACTAACATGAATTTGAATGCCTAACATCACATGTTTCAAACTACTATCTTATCAATGTAGATTTTCAGCAATAAGTCTAATACTACCTTGGCATGCTAGTTATTTAAAATGAGAGACAAAATTATTACTTCACACTGGTTTCTCAATTACAGATTTCATGTCACGCAATTACGATAGGATTAGAAACTAAAAAGATAAAGAACCACACTGGGAAGTCAGAAGTTTCATGAAAAGTTAACAATACCACCAGTACTGTCAGCATATTCCAGCTCTTCATCACTGTCTTCCTCAATTGGCTGCTGAAATAAAGATACTTTTGAGTATGGAGGAACAACAAACTCTGGCCCGATTACAACCTGGAAGTATAAAATTCCTGAAACCATCAACAGTTGTATAATTGACATGACAAAAGACGAATCCTCCATAATCATTTATAGGAATCGCTAGATGAAGTAATAAATAAATAGGAAATTGAATTTTAGAATTCTTTAACAAGTTAATGGACCTGGATAAATGCAATTATTACTGAACTTTAATATATGTAA